GCTTGGGTGCTGACAGAGTTGTGAGGGCGGTTGACACTTCCCGGCTGCCCACACCGAGGAAGACTATTTCTTCTTGAGGTACCTGAAGGAGATTTGTGTGACCGCAGGGCCCATCGGACATCTGCCCGAGGCCTGTCACACGGGAGCCTTTTGAGTATGATTATTTTGAACTTTTGTATTTTTGGGGCCGGATGGTCGCAAGGAATCGACAAGTGAGCCAACACCGCCGGCTCAGCAGACCGTGGGGTATGGTGAAGTGTGTTAATTTTGGGCCAACCTTTCTAACCCCCCCGCCCCCACTTCCACTGAGAAGGCAGCATCATCATGGCACTGCTGGTCATCCCAGAGAAACACCCTACTGCTGTCGCACCCCAACCAGCTGGCAGCAGTACGACTTCGCCCTTAGACCACCATCATAGTGTGGCAGTTTACACCGCAACGGTAACTGCTTTTCACCTAAACACTACCCAGCAGACCTTTCTGGTATAGCAGAACGTCGAGGGAACAATTGTTCCACCAGCATAGCTCCTTGGGTTATTGTGGTATGCAAGCCCGACCACCACGTCAAGGTAGAGGCCGTCCGTCGGGGTTGACGGAAGTGGCGTGTCACGAAAAGCATTCCCAACAAACTACAGACATGTATCATCAACAGTTGCCGTCTACGCTCACTCGATACTGACACTGAAGATCAGATGACCAGAATAACAAGAATAACCAACACGGAACTCTGGCTGTAATGAATCAACCAACAACTCATCGCCCAACAAATATTCAGAAGGAAGTGGAGATGGATTGGATTCGGCATACACTGAGAAGACCATTCGGGGACATCACGTGCGAGGCCAGGCCATCGAGTGGATACCAGACGGGAAACGACGAGTTGGGAGTGCGATGCGAGGGTGACATGGAGAAGACTGTGTGAGGAAGAAATGAAAGCTTGTGGGTAGTCGTGGCGCCAGATTGAGAAGAGTGCAGAGAAGAGAGTGAAGTGGCGACGTGCTACTGAAGCCCTAAATTCCACCAGGAACCCAAGGAAAAAACAATAACGATGGTAATAACAACAAAACTGACGGACTGCGTGAATTCGTTTTCTTGTTTATTTGACGTTAATGGGCTTTGGCTTCCTTCTTTAGCCCCAAAAAAGCAATGTATAGTTCCAAACACTGTCCTGTTCCGCTATAGTTGGGTGAATGGAGACGAAGACATGGTGGCTTGCCTTGTCACCTGTTCTCTGATAACCAGCAATCCGGTTATCTGGAGGAAGCACTACGGTGATCCTGATAGTGTATTTTACAGTAAGGCGGTTAGTTTGTGTGAAATTTAGGAAACCAACCGAACTGTCATTACAATAATCGAATTTTATGAGCTATTATTTGCTCCTCCAAGTTGAGCCATACGCGTATCTCAGTTTTAGGGGATTTACAGCTCCCTGAGGCCAATCTCGTGGAAAATATCAACAGTAGAAACAGCGATTTAGCTGAAATTCGCTTGTTTAATCTTGTTGGGTAGCCCGAACTTACTGGAAACTCGAGGTCAGCAACTCGACGGAAGAGTAACGTGATTCCTTTCCGTCTGGACTGCATTCTCGCGAGCGGTGAATACTCCATGAATAATCTTACGGTACCTTCTCCAGTAGGCAAGATTGATCTTGCTTGTGTGCGAACGTCTTCACCGCCAAATTCTGCCAGTTGTAGTCAGACTTCCTCCAAATCAACGTCCGAAGTTGGTCGGTTGCTGCCTGCTGCTTTGTCTGTAATTTTTCTCGTTGTAGAAAAGCAATTCAGTTCTAAATGTTGACTTGGACATCAGTGTGAATTAATTAGTCAAGGAACGGATCTTGGCTGAAACTAACCTTCATGGGGGGTAACCAGCTTCACTGCTTTCACAATGCCTAACTACAACAAGCAGAATTAGAGAATGTTCAAGAGACTAAAACTTCATAATTATCCAGGTCTACGACTTACTCACCATAAAAGTGACCAGGAAAGTCCAGCACCTATCAACCGCAAGGCCGTCACGACCAGTGTAAACGGCGGACAGGATGTCCTGGAAGTCCACCTGGAGCATTCAAACACGTCTATTGCTTTTGGATGCCTGAGTTGGAAAAGTAAAGATATTTGGCCCTCAGTAGTAATATTCATCAAGATTATGAGTCTCTTATGTAGAATGGAATTAATATGCATGAATTGTGCAGTTCTGGAATCATCGATGAAACGCAATAAGTTAACAATCTGTGTATGCTAATAATGGATTGTGGCTAGCAGTGGAACCCAGGATGCGCGTTTCGTCGTATTTTGGACTCGACGGCCGGAGTTTCCTGCTTTCCAGTGAGCGGTGTTGCTCCTGACGGGATTCGGACCCAGAGGCGATCCCTTCAAACGCCAGGGAGTTATCCACTATGCCACCGAGCCACGATAGCCACTTCTTGTGCGACGGGTATAGTCGTCTCTATATCACACCGCTGTTGCTTGGGCCAAACTGATCGGTCTCTATTGGCATATGGGCTCCTGTGCGGATGCCTTTGTATTGCCTGCCTTCCAATCATATTTTTGATGAATCGTGGCTAGCAGCGGAATCCAGGATATATGACACAAAAACAGTCACACCAAAACTATACCCGCTGCACAAGAGGTGGCTATCGTGGCTCGGTGGTATGGTGGATAGCGCCCTGGCGCTTGAAGCGATCGCTTCCGAGTCTGAATCCTGATGGGACCAACATCACTCACTGGGAAGCAGGTAAATGCAGCTAACAAGTCCCAAACAGGACGAAATGCACATCTTGGATTTCACTGCTGGCCATGATCCATCAATAACATGATTAGAACGCAGGGTACATCGAGGTATCCACACAGGAGCCCATGTGCCAATAGAGACCGACCACTTCCGTCCGAAAAACGACGGTACGATGTGGCCACAATTATACTAATTTGTGCATACATTTACCACATAAACTTTTCGTTATGTCTCAAGTAAAAAGTAAAAACTATTACAACGGAAGCACTAGCTTCAAGCTTTATTTTTCTCCATGCAATACATTTAGTGTCGAGATACGAGTCTGGTTGTTTCGTTAGTGCGAAGACAATACTTCCGCTTGTCTAAATCCGTAAGAGATGATTATTACGGGCACCAAGCCCGGCCGTTTTCACTAAACAGCATCATTCCGCCAAGCCAAGACATGAATTCCCAACTTGATGAATCCTGGTGGCTACTAATGCTTTGCCCAACCGATCTTTAGAAACCTTAACGGTGCCGACTACATTTTTGTGTGCTTGTGGGTGTTCCACAGAAACAGAATAATATGAACCCCTATCAGGTAAGCTGACAAGCTCACGAAGATAAACATCCCCGGGTCCGGATAAAATCCACCCTTCCATCCCTCAAGAAATTGCTTCATTCCTCACTGAATACCATGGTGGATTTTTTCAAGCATAAATTCAACCAGGGCACATGGCTTAAGCCCTTAAAGTTGGCACTTGTTGCGTCTATGTTCATCATCGGTTAACGAATCAACCGAGAAAGCTACAGGCTTGGGATTCTTTCATACAGATCCTCGTGAGTGGCGGAGTCATTTGACGACGAGAGTCTACGTGACCACCAGAAAAACGATAATTTCTTTTCACCCTCGGTGTATGGTTTGGAGAAGAAGAGAGGATATTCATGCATTGGCAATCCACTAACGGGGAGCAAGCATTGCTAATAGTCAGGATAAAAAAGTTACCGTATACATGAAGTTTCCTAAGGCTTTTGATCACGTAAACTGAAACTATTTGGTCTAGAAGTTGAGATTTATAGGAACCAACTCACCACTGATTAACTAGCCACCACGATATTAAACCGTCCGCCAGTCTAAGGTCTGGGTGAATTTTGAAATCCCCAAGGAAATATTATGCCCAGATTTAACCTCCCAGGATTCAGTATTAGGGTCTCGCCTGCTCCTCATTTGGATTAATGACCTCACTTTTCACCTTATTTCTGAAACTCCCATCTCTGCTCATGATGTAAAACTAACGAGGGGATTAGGGGATGGAAGCAGCAGGTCCACTTCATAAGATTCAACTTCAACACCAGGCAGGTAGCGGTAAACCACTGCTCAGTTCCTAAAAGTGTGCAATGAATTATGCACATTATGATGCATTCCACCCATCCAGACTGAACAAAATAGTGGTGGAGGCATGCCTGGTAGAAAGGACTTCGGAATCTTAGGTGAGCATGGATTAAAATCATACTGTAATTGTTACGAACGCATTCGGTAAAAGTCTGGTACTTTTCACTTTGCGAAGAGTGCTTGAAGAGTTTGATCACGGGTGTTCCGGCCAAATTCCCATCCGTTTCATAGGGCTTCACCTAGAATTTAGCAATATCATCTTGCATGCATCACTTCGAAACTATTTAAACTACATTCAAAGTTGCTGCTCCGAACCGGTCTGTCGACTGAGGTCCAAGCCATAGGACGAACATAAAGGAACACCGAATCTGCATACCTTGGAATGCGGTTGGATGACAGGCTACCTAATGATGGCGCATTGTGTCCTAGGCATTTCGGTTTGACCACTTAATTGACTGTCTAGGCTAAACTCCAATACAAATCTAAGGGAGGACACACAGAAGTTAGAACTTTAACATGGTAGGACAAATATTGGGCGTATCTTGTACTCCCTAGGAGTTGTTAGGGCTCGGAATACTTTACTCTTAGAAACTGCTTGGTTTAAATTACTCGAGTCCTTAAAACAAAAACCTAATGTCCACTTAAGATCATAGCATGAGCCCACAGACTTCGTCACTAATCAACTGGTCTATTTTATTTTGTCTACTTTCCTCTTCTTTGTCTGTATACGTAGGTTCCGGAACACAGAAATCAGTTTCTCACTGATTCTAGAAGTGAAAACCAGTTAAGAGATACCTTCTAATTTGGCAACGACCACTGAAAAGTGTATAGGATGAGGCGGCGATTCAAAAAACTGAGTTGCTTTTGAATTTCTTACATTTCGTGTTTTTTGCTCATGTTTCCAACATCGGGTTTCTTTCAAGAATTGCTTTGTCCAGCACTAACTAATGGAAACTGTGATAGACCATACTGCCACTTCAATCACTTTGGATCTCAGAGTTAGTAAAGTATTTCGTAAATATACCCTGAAAATGCAAATGCGATCTTCTCTAAGTGCACATTGTTATATGGTTTTGGAAATTAGTGGACGCGCACCTACTTATGTACTTAGTTTTTGATCTAAGGAACTTTTTTTTATGAGTGCTCAATGTTCAGCGTCATATCCGTTCGAATTAAGGAAGAACATGCGTGATTGATTGTTGGTTTAAAATACATGGATTACGTTTTGGACATAATTTATTGTCCATAGTCATATCGTCTTGATATGACTAGTAAGACACATGAATAAAAATTATAAAGTTGAATATTACCAGTATGATCTACAGCACAGAACAATGACCTTTGCCTAGTTTAAGTCAAGTTAAATAAATCTAATCAGGTGAGTTTCAGTATATCCAGCTTTGAGGTCCAGGTTTTCTGACTACCTACTTTAGAGATCTTGGAGGGTCCCAACCATTTTACAGCCACTGGCTTCTTAAATTAGTGTTTGACCCTTGTCTGATACACTGATCATGGTGCAGGCAACAACAATCGCCAGACATGTGTTACATGCCTGAGCTATCAGGGATATTGTCTCATCAACTGGATTGCCTACTTAGTAGTTTCACTGCATACGCATAGCACTTTAAGCGCATATGATAATGATATACTGCTAGTTGTCTGTTGACGCTTAACTACCATAACAGCTACAGAATAGGACAGTGGTGTGCAACGCGGTAGTTATTAGGGCATCTTGTATTATAAATGGCTCAAGCAACCAATGAGAAATGTAGCTTGTTTCTGTGCATTAGCTTCTGTTAGTTCCAGTTCACTGTTTCTGGTTGAACACTTTAAGTAGCCAATGTGGTAAAAACATTCAATCTTTTGGTTACCTACCTGTGGAGAGATTTTCGCTCAGACCATTTCAACAGCATCATTTACAATTCGGCAAGTGCAAAATGCTTGCAGACATTCACCTTAATGAATATAAATGGTGACTGCAACTAAACCATAGGTTAATGTAGTAGCTCTTAAAAGGAAATTGTGGCGTAAATCGTGGGCTAAAAAGGACCCTATATAGTGTAAGGGTGTATTAGAGTAGAAACAGGAGTAAAACATGAGCACTATGGTAGATTTAAATTCCATTTCAGTCCGTTTATTAGAAGTGTCACACACTGGAACAGTACTGTTTCGGACGTGATATTTGTCCATATTCATATGGACAGATCCCCACTTAAAATTATCATGGAAGGACTCCTGTTTTCTGTCCTCTTTAGTCCCTTCAGTCAGGTTTATTTGTGACAGAGGAAACATAAAAAGGTAAAGGTTAACGAAAATGTCCAAAGGTGACAAAGGGTGTATACATCTCCGCCATTATGACTGATTTTGAGCCAGGTCATCAAGAGTCTTTAACCATTATTCCTAATATCTCAAGGACCCTAGATAGTCAGTCTACACGGCCTAAACCAACAACTAAAGGCTTCATGGACATGTAACAATTATTGGTCTGACCGCCTTGAGCTTTCTTCCAACCCAGTTTTACTAAGGACAAAATCTCACTTTGGAAAAGACGGTGGATAAGCATGCGCAGCACACCATGTCGAGTTGACAAAGGTTTACAACCTCATCAGTTGTCTAGTTAGTATTCTAGGCATGGCTTTAACGCTCTTTAATCGGTGTCCAGGGCATGTAAGCATTACCAAGAAGGTACCAGGGATCAGAAACCGATACCTCATTTATATCTACTTAGGACGGCTGTATCCCGCAGCTGTACAATAGAACAGCGGACTGTTCCGTGCTATACTCGTCTTTTGATATCATCAACGCTTTATGTGATAACTTGGTAACTGTCAGGCAGGCTCTTCTTATCCAGGTTGAGATTTCGTCAAAAGTCAACAAATCGAGGCTAATTTCTGCTTCTGGAAACCTGCCGAGGTGTCTAGATCTCCTAAATTAGCCGTCTTAAAGAATCGAAACCGGGCTGGTTTTCTTGATTCTGTTGTTCATGATCTCCTAGTAGGTTTCGGTTATCTTTGGGTCTTGGGATCTTGGACGCTATGTCAGCCAGACTGATCCTCATGTGATTATCATACCAAGACTTCTATCCTTTCTTAGACTAGAATAATTCACGATCTGGAAAACTAGCAAGTAAATAATACTGTATCACTGTGCGCTTCATATCAAATAAACAAATCTAATATGGAACTACATTCTACCACAGTGCCCAAGTTTTTCACTTATATTAATGGATCACATCTGATTCATATCCACTAGCTAGTATCTCGGTAACCCTGTTGAGTAATTTTCTACCTGTATCACTAAAACCCTATGGTGGAAACCATCAAAATCCTTAGCTTTGTATCTTTTCAGGTATGTAACAACCCTCAAATTCTAGTAGAGTTGAAGAAAGGACATTTAAGTCTGATTTAGCTTCAGATTCGACATAGTGACTAGGTCAATAAGACGTGTCTTGCTCACCGTTGCCACACATAAAAACATACTAAGGTATAAGACAGATTAAACCAACGTAGAATCTCGCACACAGGTGCATCGACTCAGGTTGCCACATTTCACACTTGTATACAAAGACCAAGTGGCCAGAATAAGAGTGACATCAAAGTAGACAAAGTTATATGACGTAACAAACAATCTAAAGATAACAGATAGCGCAAATATTTCAGCTTTAGAACACGTCAATGAGTAAATATATCTGCGCCACTGTGACCACTTTCCAGCCATGTCACAAAGATCCCTCAACTACTGATTCCTTTCGTCTTTGGGACCCCGATCAGGCAGTTTACATCTCCCTACACGACTGAGACTAATAGTAAGAGTCTCAATTAACTGGTACCAGGTCATGGACTAGCCACCCTGAACATTTTTGCAACCTAATCCAACTTCACTAGGATGACACTTCGACGTAGGCTGTGGTTTGTCATGTACAGTACATATCCAAGCTATCGCAGTCGACTTGCCTAGTACCCTTATGACCTCAACATTGCTCATACAGCAATTCTACCAAACATGAGCAATGTAACCGCTGCATGTCTTGTACGTCCAACGGCCAGGCCTCACAGCGGTACAGCAAGATGGAATGGATTGCAGCGCAGTATACCCGTGCTTTGATAGATAGTCTGAAACCTCGCCAGTTTGCTTCACAGGTGATGCAAGTTTGCAAATGCCAAACGTGCATTCTGTATCGCAGGTGAGATTTTGTCAGCATCCATCCCGTTCAAGCTGATGCAACTCTCCAAGTGAAGTAGTCGACACATTCCACCAATTCACTCTATAACTAAACTTGGAGTGGTCACAGACTAGTCCTGAGGCATCATTTTACATTCGACAGGTGCAAGACGCATGCTAAATATACTAAGGTTTCTGCTCAACGCTTGTAGGGGACCCTACCTTTTATCAGCCTGTTCACCGAGCAGGAAAATGTTGCCTGCGTACTCCACGTCAACCAGGTTGCCCTGCAGGGAGTAGATCAGTCCGTGTACAGTCAGATGTACCTGAGGTTATGTCCATTTGTACGTCTATAATGAAGTTAAATAAGAACGGTACTATTGGGCATCTTTGCAGGACACCTCTAGCTGCCGTCAGTTCAAATGACAACCCTGCATAAACCCTTATGTACTGCATGAGTTCGAGTAGAGCTTTGATCAGAGTTATGTGCTTGCTCGGTACTCTCTTCAGTCAGACACTGCTACAACACCTCACGGTTAGGTGAGTCAAATGCCACCTTCAGGTCAACAAATGTGGCAAGTGTTGGCCGCCGGTAAGTTCCTGTGTTCTAGAACCTGTCGTAGGGTAAAAATATGATTGTCTACGTCTGAAACCTGCTTGGTTTTCACGAGTTTGCGGTTCTTGAGAAACCAGTGATTGGAGGCTCCAGGCGGTATGGCCGAGAACCCATATCAGTGGCGCAGATGTATCCACACACATTACCCTCATCTTAATGCTATACCGAATCTCACCATTTCCTCATTTTTCCTTCCTGTCTTTTAGTACTTTATATTTTTTTTGACTGGGTTTTCTTTTCTTCATCTCCCACTTCGCTGCCCTTTTACTTGGTGTACTGATATGAGCTGTGGCAACTCGGGCTTTTACGCAGTAATGCCCGGTCTCACGTTGATTTGGATGATGATGATGATGGATCTTGAGCTCCAGTTAGTCGTCGGATAACTATAGACTCTAGGATTTCGGACACGATACTAGTCAAACTATTTCTCCAATGGTTATCACAGGAAGACCCTCTCTGCTCATAGACTGAGATGATCAGTGAACTAGACCAGTGTGATTCCCATACACCACCTAATACATCCACCACCTTATCAATCAATTTCATACCTCCACCCTTGAAAATTTTGGGCGGCAAACTGTCAAGTTTTGCTGCTTTGGATTGTTTCAGGTTCGATACAGCCTTCTCAACTGCAAAGGGAGTTGGAGGAACCACATCTGCATCCCATTCAGGTTCAGGCTGAATGTCGGGCAACCGAAGCGTAGATGGGAGCCAGTTGAACTGTGTTTCAAAGTGTTCTGCTCTACGTTCTGGCCTTCTGTGCTGGAAGGTTATCAGAGTACCTTTTTCGATGGTTTCACTAACCATCGTCTTCTTGCCGGTATTTTTAATAATCCTAAATAGTTCCCTGGTGTTATCTAACACTGATGCCTTCTCCATCTCCCTCGCATTCGTCATCAATTACTGCTCGTGATCGACCGGAAGGCTTCCGGTCAAATTACCTTTAAGTTGCTTTCGCGCTTCGTCGTGACTATAGCCAGTTGGAATCGGTCTTCACGCACCAGTCAGTTCAGATGACGTCAAGGAAATCCACTGACGTTTGGAAACCTTCGAATGTAGGTTGCAAACCGTCTTTACCACCGTCTCTACAGCAGGCTTAATATCACAACAGGTTTCCTCAGGATAAGCACTGTTGTGGTTCGTTAACTCCTCCCTAAATACGTATTTGGGGGTTCTTGTCTTTCAATTGAGCATAGGTATGCATTACTATCCCCTGTTTCC